TAAAGTCTCCTGATTGTCTACCGATTTAATTAGTTTGCCTAGCAGAAATCAACGCATTAGAAACGGAGAAAATTACTTATTTCATACACAATGTACTACTTAAATAATTCAATAATGAACAAAAGTTGTTAGTCTTCGACAGTTGATCAGTTTTGGTTCGTTGACGAAACTAAAATATTAATAATAAAACCTAGTAAAATCAGTTGTGGGGTATTTGATGTCCTCGATTTTAATAATTTTGATATTTAATAATCATTGACATCCTAAAGTGGTATTTTAGTGTTTGATTTGTCAAATTCGGGACAATTGGACATTAATAACAACCAGTAAAGTTGAAATTTTTCCCATAATACAACTTTTTCCTTTGAGCGTCAACTTCTTTTGTTCATATTTGAGGTTAGGATAAAGATACGGAGATGCAGTTTTCACTGAGTTTTTGGCATTATTTTATTATCTAATGACACAAACAAACTCATATATTTCCATTGTATAGCGGCTTTAACAGCTCCAAAATTACTCACCACTTGCAACAGCAATACACAAAAGAGGTATGACTTTTTCTAAGCTCTAAGATAGTACTCACTTTTAAAAATGAAGATAATAATTGCGGCCCCTGATGACCACTTCGGAAACTTAAAAATATTATGGAGCATTTTCTCTAGGACCGTTCTTCAGAAAGAACTTTATAAATAACCACGTCTCTGGATGTAGGTTTATGTATGTAGTGGCATTTTTTGTGCAACAAGACATTCGAAATAGTACTACTCGTGCCTTTGTGTCAGTAAACGCTGCTTGAGTTAAGTGGGCAAATTCAATTTAATGGTCACGATTCTTTGTCAAACAATGGACAATAAATGATGTTTGAACAATTTAATCAAGCGAGAGATTTCTATGAGTGTAGCGAAACAATTTAAGGAATTGGGTGCTCTCGCCTTATCTTATCGGTTAAATGGTCGTATTTTCGTATCCCGCTCTAGTTTTAACGAATGCTAGTTTTTGTTACGCAATAACATCAGAAACCAATTTTCTGGTTAAATTTGTTTAATATTTGTGATCAAAACAACTTAAATTAACTAATTCAAACTTTTTATGCCGTCATAATAACGGTGGACTTTACAATTTTTGCTACGGCAATTATTTTATTACTACCAATATTATCTGCACGGAAATGATTTTTGAGTTATATTTTTCCGTTGCAATGGCAAGATTAATTGGATTTGTTTTAAAATATTAAAAACTATTTTTCTTTAAAGTTCCTGCGCTCAATCAAATAAATATGCCAGCCTTTGTCCATCGCCTATTTGAAATAATATTTTACGAGAAGCAAATGAATTAAGTTTTTAATTAACTAAGTTCCTTTATATACAGGGTGAGTCAGCGATAGAGTAAAACCTATTATCTCGTTGGTTTCAAAAGTTAAAAGAAAATGGTAAATACAAAAGATGTAAAGTTGGTCTACAGTATATAGGGTGCCTCAAAAAAGCGCGACTAATAAAAGATATCCTAATTTCAAATTTTGTTTTGAATTAGTTTTGAAATTCTAAACTTAATAGTTATCCAATGTTTTGATTTTTCTAAAAAAATACTTCTTTTCACTCGTGCAAAAAAGGCCACGATAGGGCTGTTATTGTTGAAAGTAGATCGCTCATATTTGGTAGTAGCATTTTTCGAAGCTGACGTGAAAAATATATGCAGCGGACTTTGAATTTGATGCTAACCAAACCAAACCAATATATTTGGATCATTTTAAATTGAAAAATTTGGATTTTGTTAAATCAAGACCGTATATAATCCTATAACTTTTATTAAGCATGTCATAGATCTATTTTTAATCCTTGGCGATTTATTTTAATTTTCCAATGTTCGCCCTTTTTTTCTGTCCATGACTACTATTGTAATATTAGGGCTTTGTTAAGATTAAAAAATGAACAGGAAAAAGAACTTTGCTGGAGTTGGAGCAACAGATGGTTATTATCAATTTTAGTGTAAATAACAGCCAAATTTTCAATTTACAGAAGAAGTAAATAATGTTAAATACATATTACTAAAAATTAACTTATCAATTTTTTAATTATTATTATGACGAAATAAATGTTCAAAAATATGCCCTTCTACTTGTTTGGTCCAATTTTACCAATCTTTTTTTCCTCTTTATCCAGTATATAAATAATATCAATAAATTCAGCTTTAAAATTTTTTAATTTACGGTCAGTACAATAAAATTTATGAATTTATTTATTCGGTTGCCAGGTAAAAATTTGACCATGTCAGTTTGTCCTAGTCAACTAACGTTATAGCAATAAGTCTTACACAAAAGGAGTGGCAAATATTGGCAAACTTAAACTAAATCTCAAAGTATTAAAAGTAGGTTTATGACATTCCTAATAAAAGATGTAAGTTTTTGAAAGGTTTTTCAGAAATAATAATAATGTATAGTGTGCCATTTAAGAATATCGAGCTTTTTGTTAAAGCTTAGGTATGTATTATTAACAAAAAAGTTGAAGAATGTTTGAAAGGAATTCAAAACTAAATTTAAAAAAATGTATGCTTTATTCGTCACGTTCTTTTGAGCCACCATCTATACTTTCTAATAGTTTTAACTTGTATACAACTTTTGTGTTTACCATTTTCTCATAATTTTTGAAACCAATGCGATAATAAAACTGTGAAGATGACCTAATTGTTTTGAACCGAAACTTGTCTTGCAGGACCTGATACCAAGGAAAATTTACAAATTGTAGTAGACATATAATACAATAGAGTTTTTTTGCTGAGCTGTGTGTAGATAGATTTTAAAAATGATCCAATGTACGGGGAAGTCCACACATGCACCAAACCCAAACCACAAATAAAACATTTACATATGGTACCAGCCTTTCGGAATTCGTAGAAAATATTTTGCTTCCCGAAATCTGCATCGCAGTGAAATACCTTGAGAAACAAGTATTTCTTGAGAAATCATAAAGGTGTTTAGTAAAAATATTAGCCATGATCATAGGTAATGTCAATTCCTCTAATCAATCAACAGCAGAGGAGTAAACAAAGCAATGGCAAAATGAAGAACTGAACAAGCAGTTGGTAGAAAATTGATCTGTCAATGTAAGTTCATGAAAACAACTGTTTCATCTGTTTCATGAGCCTATAATGAGTCATGAGGCTACTTACGCGTTCCAGTGCCACAACAATCGGAAAATGGACTAGTGGTTGGCCCTAAAGAAATGTTGCAATTATTTAAACATTGTTGCTATATGCAACCTCGAATTATGCACTGATATCTATACAGAATGTTAAGAAGTTTATAAATATAAATATGTTTAAGTCTGTGTAATTTCAGAACACAGGAATAATAATTGACCTTGCTTTTCCAAATTTTAAATCTTTAACACTTTCATATTTTGCTGTTCTTAATTTCAAAGGTGTGTTCGGAAAGGCAAAAAAAAAAAACAAGACGATATTCAAAATACGTGGTTAAAATATGGAAACAAGTAATGGCATGGATTCTGTCGGAAAATTGGAAATAAAATGTTCTTTTCTTCCTAGTAACTCTTAAAGCTGTGAATTGTAATGTAAAACATTTGGTTTCCTTTATTTGAAGCTGCGTCTGACAGTTTTGAATGGAATCAATCCATCCACCTTTTGGATATAGGGTCGTGTGTATGAAACCATGTTTCATCAAGATAAATTATGGATCTGTTGTCTAATCTACATCTTTTAATTTCTTGACGGTAATTAAATACCCTAGTCCGTAATATGTCGGATTGCATTACTACTTGCCTTTTGCCTATTTTGCGGTACTTAAATCCCATTTATATTAAAGTTTTGTTGGGAAGGGTCCACCGAAAACCAACACGAAGAAGATTGTGACAGATTATGTTCGAGTGAAGCATCTTATGAGCGATTATGCCATCGCTTAACTAAAAAAAAATATATTCCTGTGGATATGCTGGGTAAGTAAACAAGGAAATATTATCAGTTGTCCCAGAGATTCAATTAGACCATTGAAAAGCCACTTAAGAGAACTTTAACATGATGTATTGCTCAAAACCATCAGGCAAATACAAAACTACCCCCAATAATGAGATGCCCTAAAATTCGTTTTATTAATTTCGGAACCTCAAAAAAATCTGACGTTATTTTAGATATTGAATTAGACCATTAAAGACCCACCTAGGAGAGCTTTAAAATGATGTATCGCTTAACCAGTATAAAACATTAGGGTAGATATAAAACTACCACCCAATAATGAGATGCCCTAAAATATGTTTTATTTATTTCGGAATCTCAAAAAATCTGATGTTGTCCGAGATATTGAATTAGACCATTGACGACCCACTTAGGAGAGCTTCAAAATGATTTATTGCTTAACCAACTTAAAACCGTCGGGAAGATATAAAACTACCCCCAATAATGAAATGCCTTAAAATTCGTTTTGTTTATTTGGGAATCGCAAAAAAATCTGACGTTATCCCAGATAATTAGACCATCGAAGACCCACTTGGGACAGCTTCAAAATGATGTATTGCTTAACCGGCTTAAAACAGCCGGGAAGGTATAAAACTACCCCCAATAATGAGATGTCCTAAAATTCGTTATATTTATTTCCACCGAGCCACTGTTTAATAGTCTGAATCCGTGCAAGGGGAAAAGGTATTATTTTTTCCACAGCAACATTTTTTTGGGAGTTCCTTGGTAACATTTCCGTGCTTCCTTACCCGGCACATCCACAGAACTATGTTTTTTAATTAAGGTAAGTAATAATATTTGCAAATCCAAATCTAACTTCAGCCACATATCGAAGCGCCCCGTATACGCGACTTCCGGTTCCGCTCCGGCTCGGTTTTTCCGCTCCCTCCGCGACAAGAAATAAATCCGGCAGAAAAGCTTGCACCACCGAGTCCCACCCTTCGGTGTCTCTTCGTCCAAAGTCGCGCGTTTTCGTCCGTGTGCCGGTCGTCGCTCTGTTTTCAAACAAAACCTCGCGCATTGGCGCGCGTTTAGTCGTGTTTCCGCCGCACGGGACGATGGAAGAGGAGCTGCGCTGCTTCACCTGTAAACAGTTCTACATCAATCCGGTGCTGCTGCCGTGTTACCACGGACTCTGTCTACACTGCGCCCTAAATTTGCAACAGCCCGCCAATCACAACAATGTCGCGACTGCCGTGACCGGCGAGAACGCGGAAAGCGTCGCTTCCGGTTCTTCGGGGGATTATCAAGAGTCCGATAAGTTGTCGATTTTGAGCGAGACCGATAGCGGTGTCGTGTGTACTTCGCGTCCCAATTCGTACGTGGGATCCCCCAACGGGTCGCTGTTTCCCGGCGCCCTCTCGCTGACCTGTCCGATTTGTCAGAAAGTCGTGTACTTCGACGACAACGGGGCCCACAACTTGCCGAAGTATCGAGTGATGCAAAGCGTGGTCGAACGCTACGGGGAGTTGAAAAATCTCACGTTGAAATGTCAAATGTGCGAACAGGAACCGGCCAAAGACGCGACCGTGATGTGCGAACAATGCGAGGTCCTGTACTGTGAGTCTTGTCGAGAGTCTTGTCATCCCTCGCGCGGCCCGTTGGCCAAACACGTCTTGAACGAGCCGAAACGCGGCGGAACCGGTACCGGCAAACCTAGAGACGGGAAATGTCCCGAACATTCCGACGAACCCCTCAACATGTATTGTTTGGTTTGCAAAATCGGTGTCTGTGCTTTGTGCTTGACTGATTCGAGACACGCCAGCCACGACGTCCAAAGTTTGGCGGTCATGTGCAAAGCTCAAAAGGTAATGACACTTAGGCATGTAAGAGACCGTTTCGCTCCGATATTTGACTTGCTACGAACTCTTGTTACTTTCGAAAAATCAATGAAATCGAATTTTTCGAAAGTATACGCGCTTGGCAACGAAACTTACTTATATCTAGGCAACGGTAAGCCCTAGGGGACAGCCATTGGTACAGAAATGATCGACGTCAAAAAATAATTCCTTTTTCTGTTCTCCGTTATCCGTTCTCTGTTCCGAGGTTTTTCGACGATAACTTCCTAACGGTTTATGCCACACGCCCCAAATTTTGATCTATTTTAACAGTCCACGGGATGCATACCTGCATGCATATCTTTTTTTTTTCGATTTTCGACTACTTTTTGGACATTCCTATGAAATGCTATAAGTGTGTATAATAATATATAAGAATTACAAGTTCTTGACCACATTTATACAGCAGAAGTCGGGTGCAATCAAATTTCACCAAGTATTTAAAATTTTTTTTGTTTATTTTGGCTTCCAGAAAAATATGCTTTTCTCAATAAGCATTCACCCGATCGACAAAATTCTTTAACGGGCAGATGCGGAAGATCCAGCGCTAAGACATATTTTAGATTATATACGGGGTTTTCCATTTATAGACAAAAATCTAAAAGACCCAGAAAATTGTTCTCTTCCAGAGTAAAATATTAAACGCAAATCAAAAATAGTAAAAAATATGACTAATCCGTTCAACAAGTGTCACAGGCCGCATCAAGAGCTACAATTTTTGTATTTGCAGTTTTCGTCTATTACGCACGCTGCTCGAGATATTGAGAAAAAAATTATGTCCTTGAGAACCACTTAATTAAAATATATAAAAGATCCTGAAAATTGCCGTTTTCTGGGGTAAATTATTAGCCGTAAATGAAAAACTATAAAACATTTGACTGTTTGGTCTAAACAGTATCGTAAAGTGTGAGGAGAGAGAGTTTCAGGTTTCGTGTATTATACAGGGTGCATGAGGTACTTGGAATAATATCACTGGAAATTGTTATTCTTTGGAAAAAATTTTTGTATTTACCAAAGTGTGCCGTGACTTTGAAGTTCGACGAGATGTGAAAGACACAATTAGATTACATCGATTTTGCGAAAGTTCCATAGTGGTCCGTAGGAGCACGATAGAAATAAATGCGTCCCATTTTTGACAAGAAACCCCGAAGCTGCTGCTTTTTCAAATTCATAGCTGCTTCGCGCTAACTTAAGTACAAATATTTCTAAACAGAGGAAAAAAAAAGTTGAAACAAATAAAATGTCTTCATTCTTGAACAAATTTAGCAACCGAGGTGGCTTTTACTTGATGAAAATCCATTTATCAAAATAAATAAGGACTAAAAGTTCAGATTTTCACGAAATTACCACCCAAGCATTAAAAGACAATTTTTCTAACAGTTTTGGACAGCCCACGCTGTTATTAACAATATTATGCAAAAAAAGCTAGGTAATATTTCAACATATGATAGAAAAGGCGTGCTTTAGACGATACAATTAGTAAATAGCGATTACATCTAAAGTTCATGTGAAACATTTTTTCAATTCTATTTACATTTTTAAGATACTGGGGACACCATATAGCACTGGAAACCTGAAAATAGAGTAGAGTAGGATCAGCAACTTGGGATCTTGAATTTTTTGCTAAGCCTTTTTGTAAGCTTTTTCCACTATGTTTTCAATATGAATTTCAAAACTTAGTTTGGTGTCTGTAGTACAGAAAACTTGTTAGTCAGTGTCCAAATAAATTCACGCCTTGAGCTTTAATAATTTATTAATAAAAAAAAACGAAATTCCGTGCTACAACAAACACTAATTGGTCATATTGACAACACGTCAGAGAGATGTCGACTGTCAAAAAAGTCAGTGGTGGCAACCGATTATATTTAATGAAATCAACAAATATGACAGCAGTTGCAAACTAATATTTGAACTTTAGGAACAATAATAAGAAACAGTAAACGTACCTTTAACATGAATTTATCCAAGATACCTGATGTGCTGCACTTTTTTAATACTTACGCCTGACGTTAAAATAGTATCAATTTTTAATATTAAAAAAAATCAAGATCAAGATTCTAGAAAGAAGATCCAAGAAACCCGCGACTGTGATCGATGCTCCTCACAAGAGCGTACGAGATTTGGTCATATGAAATAAATTTTGCACAACTAAAACATTTACCCACGTCCCATGTGAACAAAGAGAACAGCAGAGATCTCCGAAGTATCTCAGACCATATATCAAGCCGCAGTCGTCTGGTTTATATTTATTAAATGATTAAAACGTTTAAACGCCGGTGAGGCAAAGGTATTCCTCACCCGTCAGTCAAGGTAACTCAACATGACGAACTGACATTACGATTTACAATAGAACGCTTAATTCGAAATAATACGTAAAAATATTTGTAGACAAATGAAAAAAAAAACGAATTGAGCGGCAAAGTAACTTTTTCCAGAGAGATATTGGGAAGTTGTTTGTTATTTGTACTACATTTAGGTGCATAGAATACAGGCGTTCTAGTCGTTACCACCCTAGCATTAAAAGATAATTTTTCCAACAGTTAAGAGATAATTTTAACATATGATAGAAGTCAAGTAGGCTGCGTTTATATCTAAAATTCATGTAGAAAATAATTAATCATATTAACAAAACGTTGAAGTTACGTCGACTGTCAAAAAAAACTATAGCATTTTTTAGTTTACTGAACTTAAGATAATATAGCATTTGTCAACATTTTAAAACAGTCGATTTCTTATACAGTAATCATAAAACCTGTCAAAATCCTTCTGAAACCCGCGACATTGATCGATGCTCCTCAGAAGGGCGTTCCAAACGAAAACATTTACTTGCATCTAAAATCAATAGCAGAGGTCCCTGAGGTATGCCAGACATGTGTCAGTATACTGAGATCTAGTCCCATTTAACTCTAGATACTGAGCACTAGAACTAATGCAAATAGTCGTGCATAATGAAATTATTAAGTCTTAAGTTAAGAGCGCTCGGATGGCCATGTTTGACTTGCTACGAACTCTTGCTTATTTCTTCTTTGGTAAAGGGAAATGTCCGGTTGTACTTTTAACAGGCAACTTCAAGAATGAGAGAAATATTTGAAGCTAAACTAGAACTACCGAGCTTAATTTTCTTCGTTGGTCTTCATTTATTTTCACTCGACGAATTGGTTAGTTTGTATACTCTTGCTTTATTTGAAAATGGTATCAGAAAACGATATAATCATTGCAAGTACATCTTTTATAATTGTCAATGAGACTGAGGCAGCTAACAAATCTAAGATCCTAAAAGACGGCACTGCATGATAGCTTTCCTAATCAAAAATAGAAGGCCATTTGGAGAGTAGATTCTGAAGACTTATGAAAGATAAATGCTTAGTTGACGCTACTATCCTATGGAAGTACTTCTTGATTCTTAAACGAATGGAGCGACAAAGAAAAAATATCTATGTGCTATATTCGCTTGTGAATGAAACAATGGTGTCAGATTCTGTTTGATACCTAAGCAGTGGCACACTTTTTGCATGATATGGGATATAAATTGAACTCCGTTGTCCGATATTATAATAATATATAATAATATATAATGTATTGCCTCATCCTAGTGAAATAATACAACTTTGCAATTTTATAATATGTTCGCTCTACTCCGCAGTGTCCGGCTGTGGGAGCGTCTAGATGTTCCTGTAGTATTTTGCAGAGTGATATTGGTGAGTTGTTTCCTAAATTTGTACTATATTGAGATGCATAGAACAAAGTAGGCGTTCTAGTTAGAGCCACCCTAGCTCTAAAAGACCATTCTTCTAATAGTTTTGGGTAGTCTACTCTATTATTAACAATAATATGCAAAAGCAGATAATTCCAACATATGATAAAAACCAAGGCTTGCTTCATACGATACATCTAATAGATTGCGGTTACATCTAAAGTTCATCAGAAAAATATACGTTTTTGAAAGTTTTCCATTCTATTTACATGATTTGAGGACTCCATGTATCACTGACAAATTCAATGACACCGCACACAGGCGTTATAGAATATAAAATAAAACCCAAGTTTTTATACGTTTTCTTTACTATGTTTTCAAAATACATTTCAAAAGTTACTTTGGTTGTATGTGGTTATTCCAAAATCCCTGATATGCTGCACTTCTATAGAACATACAATCAAAAGCTATGTTATTTTCTAGTTCTCTGAAAAAGTAACTTAAAGAAGCATTGTAGGTTATGGTCATACCTCGGAGACTAATAATTTCAGTCGGATGTTTTTGATATTCGTTACAGGCTTAATGATGGATGGAGTGGTCGGATGGCCATATTTGATTTGTTGCGAGCTCTCCTTTATTTCTTCTTTGGTAAAAGCAAATGTCCGTTTATAAGAATTCTTTGATTCTAAACCTGTTTGCTTCCTGATACATGATCATGGATATTAATGTGAATAAACAAATATGAATTACAATTGAGAGTGCCCAGGATGCACACTTTGAAGCTGTGGTGAGCTGGTTTATATTTGTTAAATAATTGAAAACTCATTAATTATTCCAGGAGCTAGAAAAATTTTCTTAAACACCTTACTTGCTTGTAAACAGCTGAATGTTTACTCTCGGACTAAGTACTCGAAGATTTATTACATGGTAACATGGATACAGTCGCGTAGTCAGTTTTCTTCTCAAACTCACAAATTTTGATATATACATTAAGGTTGTGTTTGTGTGTTTTTAATGGAAAACCCTGTACTTGCTTTAATATTTTTACCAGGCTTGTTATGAGTTTATAAAACTATGTAACACAAAGGAAATATATCAAGTACAAACCATATCGCTTGTTGGGTGCAATAATGGCACATATCAAAAAATGGCTATTTTTAGTTAATTGTACCATAAAACTCGCAGATTTGTATTTTAACAACGAGCAGTACTGGCTCATGCCTATCTCACTTTAGTGCCGCTATTGAATTTCGAGCGTATCGTGACGATGTTACGC